TCTGAACCATCTCTTTATATGCTCCAGCATGCTGCAGCATGGGAACAGGAGTCTGCGCCCAAAACGCCTTCTCAGCTCAGCCACTTGAGTTGGGTCATACTAAGTTACCTTTATTTATTTACTTTTTTTGAGACAGAGTCTCATTCTGTTGCCCAGGCTAGAGTGCCGTGGTGTCAGCCTAGTTCATGGCAACCTCCAACTCCTGGGCTTAAGCGATCCTACTGCCTCAGCCTCCTGAGTAGCTGGGACTACAGGCATGTGCCACCATGCCTGGCTAATTTTTCTTTTTCTCTGTCTATATTTTTTAGTTGGCCAATTAATTTCTTTCTATTTTTAGTAGAGACAGGGTCTCGCTCTTGCTCAGGCTGGTCTCGAACTCCTGACCTTGAGGCGATCCTCCCACCTCGACCTTCCAGAGTGCTAGATTTACAGGTGTGAGCCACCTTACTCTGCCCTAAGTTACCTTTAGAGTGGTGATCTGCTGCTTAAGGTACTTAAACTTGCCCCCACAAAACTACACATTCTCCAAGAAAGGATCTTATGTTCTAATTGTTTCAAATTTTCTCAATGAATCTAGTACAAAGTCATGTAAGCACCAGACGTTTGTTTAATGATAACTGACTTTTTAAAAAATGCAAATCCTTACAGTTGTGAAGAGTTGGGTCAATAAATAAATAAATAAATAAAAAATGCAAATCTTGTCACGTTGTTCTCAACTCTTACCACCCTTCAGGGGTCCCCATTTCCCTCTGCTGACATGGCCTGTGAGATCTGGTCTCCCCCCTCCTCTTGCCCTTTGTCCTGTCCCTCTTGATCTTTATGTTCAAGCCTTTGCATGTGCTTTTTCCTCTATCCAGAACAATCTCTTCCACTCGGAAAAAGATTGCCAACTTCTAAGCCCAGCTAGCTCCTTATTCTTTAGATCTCATCTTAAAGTGCCACTCAGTGACCACGTCCATTTTGTTAGCTGATCTCCAGCATCTAGCACATCACCTGGCCACCACCAAGGCCCAATAAGTGTATTTGAATCAGTGAATAAAGCCAACTGTATACTTCTGCTCCTACAAGCAAGCTCCTATGTTAAAGAATGGAGACCACACAGACAGATACCATCATAAATTCCTGGTCTCCGACTAGACTGTTTTCCTGGTAGGCCCAACTATTTCAAACCTCTACCCTCCTCAAACCTGTTCCCTAATCCTCCTTCTTTATCAGAGCAAATATCCTTATTACTCAAATACAAACCTACCTGCCTGGGTACTCAAACCTTCCTATTTCCCTCCTGTGGCAATAGAAGAAACGACAGGGACAATCCTTCCACTTAACCTCTGGGTCCCATCTCCTCCTGCCTCTGTCAGGGACCACACCCAGGAGCACCTCCCTCTCCTGCATTTTGTCCTTTCTCTACAGACTCCAATTATCAACATTTAAGTCCCTGTAACTCTTTCCTTACTTAATGAAACCTCCTGGACACCTCTCTGCTATTCCGGCTACACTCCCCGTACTCTTCTCACAGCCTGGCTTCTTGAACTCACTGAACCGCTTCCATCAGAACCACCAGTGACTTCACTGCTAAACCCGTCATCCACTTATGCTCACTGGAGCACATGACACTAATGACATCTCCATCCTTCCTGAAATATGTCTTCCCATGGGACACTAAATGCCCAAATCTCCTCCCACTTCTCTACCTGCTGTTCCTCTGTAAGGCCCTCAAATGCTGGAGTTTCTCAAAGCTCTGTCCTGTTCCCCACACACCTGCTGTGGTGTTCTTTTTCTCCCCATAGCCTCAATCCACCTCTATGCTAATGACCGTCAAATAAGCATGTCTGCCCTCTATTTTTCTCCTCTGCTACAAACCCATGTGAATACCCAACCGCCTGCCTTTCCTCTCTTGGCTCATGTCCCACAGTTACCTCTGACTCAACATGTCAACCTTCTGGATATCTTCTTCTATTCCTCCCTTCTCACCATTCCCCAACCACAAAGCCTGTTGATATATATTTCCTAAATGTCCCCTGAATTGGTCCCCCTGTGCTCTCTCCTCTACCTCCACCTCTCCCATCGATTGCTGCCTGGCCCTTTCCTATTCTACCCTCCATATCATCCCTCACCATGGCAGCCAAGGAGTTTTTCTGTAAAATACAAATTTAAATTTGTTTCTCTAAAACAAATTTGCTCACCTTGTTCCACTGCTAGGACCTGTTCATAATGCCTCACTTGCTCAGGATTGCCTAAGCCACAGAACCCCCGGGCCTGTGTGACCCAGCCTCACCAACCCATCCCAAACTGAGCTCCCCACCTGCAGCACCTTGTGAAAGGGACTTCTTACAACTCCTGTGATCCATCACACTTGTTCTCCTTCCACCCACTGCCCTTCTTGCCGGCCCCTCATCCCAGATTTCTATTTCTCTCTCGGTCTAAGCTCACCTCCTCTGAAAAGCTCTCTCTGGCCTCCCCCTCTTCCTCCCAGCTGGTGAGGTACCTCCTTTCTGCCCCTGGAGTTCCCTATGCTCCTCCTACCACAGCACTTATCACACTGTATTGTGCTTGCTTATTACCGGCTGGTGTTTTCCAGAGACCAGGAGCTCCACAAGGGCAGGAAGAGGTATGTCTCAGTAATCAGCCCAGGACTTAGTGTAAAGTCTGGCACACACTGGCAGATTTTGTTGAATAATAGAAATTAAAAGGAGGCAAAGAGAAAATAAAGGATACTGGCAAACAAGTCAAGCCAGAAATGAAGCATTAAAAACATACCATGAAGTCCTGTTAAGGATTTGCTATTAACAGTAGCGTGGTGTTTGGCTTTCTAGCAGCACATGCAAAGAGGTGACACATGATCAGTTATACAAATGATGGTACCCATGATATAAAAACAAATAACTACCTGGAAACCAGACAGCAATTTCACCTCAGGTACTTCATGGATGGGTCACAGTCACAACATACTAAACCATGTTCACAAACAATATCCTTCCAGGCTTGTGTCTAGCTACTTGGGCTGTGTCTTAGTCTCCCATTTACAGTTAGCTCTCTGAAGACAAGTGGCATCTGTATCTCTTTTCGTTTGGTATCCCCCACTTAATCTGGCTCAATACCTTAGAGAGAGCTCAATAAACATTACTGTGTGAATGAAATTCACACATCTAGGCAGAATCAATCAATCAATCTCAGTAACTCTGACTCCTTAAATACCTGTTAAATACAACAGCAAATTCTCCTCCCATGCTTTCCCTCACATGCTCATTAGGAGTTTTTTAAGTTTAGCCAAAGGGATCCCCCTAGACCTACAGTCCCCAACCTCCCAGGCCATGGACCAGTACTGCTTTGTGGCCTATTAGGAACCAGGCTGCACACCGGGAGGTGAGCAGTGGGTGAGCAAACAAAGCTTCATTTATTTATAGCTGTTCCCCATCATCTACACCACCACTGCCTGAGCTCTGCCTCCTCCCCCGCCCAGCCCCCACTGCCGCCCGTCAGTGGAAAAACTGTCTTCCATGAAATCCATTCTAGTGCCAAAAAGGCTGGGGACTGCTGCTCTAGAAGACAACCAAAGCAATGGCCCAAAGCCAGTTGAGGCCAGGGAGTTTCCATGGAGACTGCCTGTAGTGAATTGGGCTCACCTGTTGATGCCTTCTAGGGCTGGTGTCACATTCTCATCAATCTGCAGCACAGTCTTATAGTCAACATAGGCTAGGTGGTACTTCTCTAGAGCCTCATAGGCACTTGCTCGCCGAAGCAGGGGCTTAAGGCTGAAGGGAACCAAGGCCAGTGCTCTAGAACAGGAGGCAAAAACGTCATCTGGCTGTTCAGCCACCAGGGTTTTGGTGTAGTTTCTTCCAGATAGTCATCTGCAGCCCTCAGTGTATAGGAGGTAATTTCTGGCTGGGAGACACTGCTAAAAATGCCAAACCTCACAGCAGGGACTTTCCAACTTATAGTGAAATGAAGAGGGGAAAGGGAGCAGAGAACCACTAATATTGTGAAACGTATTTGCACAGTATCAGCTTTCAGTTTCAATCAGAATCAAGAACAAGTGCCTCATGGTTTTCATGCTACTAAGTCTTTAGAGTTGTGGCCCAGTGGGAAATAACAAATAGGCTTTGGAGTTAGGTGGGGTGGTGTCTGAATTCTACCATGTGACCCAGGCAAATCACTTTTCTGCCCCAATCCTCAGCACCACAATTCTGGCCTGGGAAGCATGGTAAACTTACCCCACAGATTGACTGTCAGCACTTAAAGAAGGCAATCTAGCACGGGGCCTGGTACAAACTATTTTAGCACAGGCTCCACGAGCATGCTCACATCCCTCTTCCTCCCCCCTCTATCACCAAGGCACGCATCTAAAGCAACGGCACAGAATATCAGATCTGGGAACATATTTAGGGCATATGGTAGTTTAGCAATGATAAAAGAAGACAATGTTAGACTCACTTGAAGAAGAGGTATGAAAAATTTTTCATTGTCCTCTACTACTGATTATTGATGAATACGGTTTTTTCTCCTTTCTCTTTGTAACCTCTATTCCTCATTCTTTCCTTCTTTCTCTACTTCCCCTCACACACACCCATCCCCAAAAAAACACCTCGGTAAGCCAGTCACTGGTCTGCAACTCTAGGTTTGCATCCCCAGGTTTCAAATCTCAGAAAGACTTTAAGATCTACCTCTAACTGCTCACCCAGTTCCTTACTCAGCAGCAAAGCCAAGTCTCCAAAGACACAAGTCAGGGGCCACAAGGACCAAGTAGAGCCTCCCACTCTTAGTGACCTGGTGACATTGTCTAATCTCTGTCACAGATGTAACTGGTAGGATCCTTCCAAAGAATAAGCCAGATAAACCTAGCCTCCTCTTCTGAGACCCTCAGGCATCCCAAAGTTACCCTTGGCCACTTACGAAGTGCAATCTTTGATGCAGTCTCTGCAGTTTCCATCCTTAAAGTGGCATGCTGCTCGGTTGGAATAAAGAACGCTTTCCTCTCCCGGGTCTGAAGAACCTGCCCAGGTGGAGGCAGAAAGAGCCAGATCATCAGGTTAGGAAATGGATGCCTCAGGACACCAGGAAACATTTTACACCTGGAGCTCTCTGGGCTTTGGGGAAAGGTAGCAGAGATGATTATAACCTGATTAGGCTTGCTAGCCTACTTGGCTGGCATATTTGTCATTCTTACATGACAGTGAGGACATCACACTTTCTGCCCTTCACAGGGAACCACATATTTATCTCGTCATTCACTTATTCCAGCACTGAACTTGGTACCAGGCAAAAGGTAAACATGAAATAGTTGGTTCCTGCCTCAACAAAATCCATGCTGTAACCACCTGGGTGTGTGTGTATGTGTTAATTTTACTACAAAAAGCACGAAAACCTGATAAAGAGTCTAAATAAAAAAACAATATGATAAATGGATTGACCAAGAATTGTAGGGACACGAGAGGCAGAGACTAGTTCTACCTGGTCAAGTCAGAGAGGACTTTGCCTAGGAAGTGGTAACTGAGCTGGCTCTCACAGGACTACGGAGAACTTAATCAGAGGAAGTACTCACGCTACCCAACAGGGAGGAGAATTATTAGACATTTCTCTAAAGGCAGTCCTTACCCCAAGAATTGCAGACACCCAAGTCCTTCATTGTGGATCTTTGTTTTTAAAGATAATTTTCAACCATTTCATACCTACTAGTGTAGGTCATAATTTAAGAAAGAATTGAAAACAAGTTCTTTGAAACATGTAGAAAACCACATCTCAGTATCCACCATGTTACTATATTTGTTTCCAACCTTTTTGATATGGCTGAAGTTCCACTCATTCTCATCCTTTTCTCTGCGCTCTCCTCCCAGACCTCCAGAGGCCAGCAAAATCCTGAAGCTGGTGTGTAACATTCTCAAGCATGTTTGTCTACCTTCATTATACAATACGTACGTATTCACAGGTAAGATAAAATATCATTTTAGTTCTATTAAAGCATTTCCTACGTGGTATCATATTGCCTATCCTTCTGCAACTTGTTTTTTTCACTATGTTACCATGTTGATATCTGAAATCTTTCATTCAATACCAATAATAATAAGCTTTTTCTTCCCCCCTTATTTTTCCAGTACCTGAGACAGAAAGTAGAGACAAGCAAAATACATCCTTGCTATAAAAAAGCAAGTACAAGTACTCAAAACCTGTAATCTATCTTAAGTCACAAGAGCATGGTTACTCAGAAACAGCAGTGGTGTGGTGGAAAGGGCGTCAATCCAGCCTGCCACCCTGCACAAGTCACTCAACCCCTCTGATGGTACGTGCTCACCCACCGCATGAGGATATCACCTCACAGACTTGCTGGAAGGGTTCACTGTGTTAGGTTGCTCCCTGTGCTTCTTTCAAGATCAAGAAAACTGATCAGCGAAATCAAGAGACTTGCCCACAAATTATCAAGAAGACTAGTAGCAGCAGCAGAACCAAACTCTGGTCTCTTGCTAGACACCAAGCCAGCTCTTCTAAAGACCCAGAATAGACCCATACAAAAGCAGAAGCTTCTCCAGGCCAGCTGGGGTGGGATGAAGGAAAAAGGCAGAAACAACAATACCTCAGACTCCTCAGCAACTTCATCAAGTGAGGCTGACATGAGGAGGTGGGCCGAAAGAGGAGTTTTCTAGAAAAGAAGATGGGGGCAAACGAGTGGCTTAAAACTGCAAAAAGTTCAAACAGAAAAGAATGCAATATCGAGAAGATCTGAGGAGAAGTCTAGCAAAATGATTAAAAATTTGTAATAGCAAATCCTGGCTCTGACACGTCTTCATTGTGCAACCCTGAGGTGGGCAATTTAACTAACTCTTCTGGAATCATATGTAAGTGTCTTGTCCATAGGGTTATGATGAAGATAAAAAGGTAATGTCTAGAATGTCAAGCACACAGTAAAGCACTCAACAAATGCTAGCCAAGAACATGAAAAGGGGAAGGAAAACAAAGGGAAATAAGTACTAAACAGTGACTTACAGAAAATGGGATCCAAGGCCCCTCTCCAAAGTCAAGGCTTTATCCAATGGGGGCTCCTGGATAAGACACTTCGGGGAAGAGGCTTAGGGCAAAGGTGTGTGGTTGGTTGAAGTGAGCTGGAGACTGGGAGAACTGATTAGAATATGCTGTTACTCTGTTTAAAACTCTCCAGTAGCTTCCTACCCGAGCATAAAACCCACACTCCTTGGCAGGGTTTAAAACACCTACACAGCCAGGGTCTGCCTACTGACCTCATTATCTTACTATTCCCTCCACTAGCTCACTATGCCTTGACTTCTGGGATACACCATGCCTATTCTGTCTGGCGGGCCTTCTGATTGCAGTTCCACCTGGAATGCTCAGACCCAAAACTTCGTGCGCTTGGCTTCTTCTCATCATTCAGACATTACCTCAAACATCACTTCTTTCTTCAGAGAAGTTGTCCTTGAGGTCCCACTCTAAAAGAGCTCCGCAGTCGACTCTGTCACATGGCTTATCTGTCTTCTTCATAGCCCTAACTATCCCACAGGTCTTGCTTATTTACTAGCTTAGCATCCACCCCCTCCCATTTCGCCCCACCAGAATGTGCGACCTTCCGTCTTGTTAGCACCTGTATATAACAGGTGCTAAACGAATACTAATTTAACTGAAAATGAATAGCTAGGCGGAAGGAGGGTTGAGCTATATCCTCAGGATCAGCATGAGGCGTGAGTAATTAAGGATGGAGGCCAACGGGGCAGTTAAAAAGCAGGTGGAAAGAAAGGGCCAGGGAAGTTTCCGGTAGGATGCTGAAGTCAAGAAGGTGCGGGAAGGATGGTGGGAGGGCCCGGAGGCTCGCTGGGCCGCGAGTGTGGGAAGCCCAGGAAGGCAGGGACAGAGCGAGGCCCGGGGGCCGCTGCCGGGGGACGGGGGTTGGCGGGGCTGGGGGAGATACGGGGGCGGGGTCGTACCTCGCGCCTGCAGCGCCCGCAGCGCGCGGCAGTAGAGCGCGGAGGCCTCGGCGTACTGGCCGTTGCGGAAGCTCGCATTGCCGGCGGCGCGGAGCGACTCCACAGACTCTGGGTGTTTGGGGGCCATCCCGGGGCCGGGCCGGCGAGCGGGGGCGCCTCCGTTATCCGCCCGGAGTCGTGCGGGACAGCGTCCGGGCGGAAGCACCGGCAGCGAGCCCTCGGCCGCGACCACTAACCTGACCGCGAGGGGGCGGGGCGGAGCGCGGCGGGGGCGGGGCCTGGCCGACGGGAGCCCGCAGGCGGCCCGCCCTCTGCGCGTGCTCAGTTTGGAACTTGCGCTCCCCCAGCGCGCCGGGTGGGGTGGTGCTGCGCTGGGCGCCCTGGGGGTCGCCGGGAGGGACGTCGGGGCCCTGCTCTCATAGAGCTTACATTCTGGTGGGGCCTGACAGACGATTAGGTCCTGAGCAAATTTCGTGATTAGTGCCGTATGGAAAACAAAGCAATGGAAACAGATTTAAACTGTAATAACAAAAACTGGAAAATGCTTCCTGTTTTAAACCACTTGGCTTTGGAGGTAGTTTGTTACACAGTGATAGCTAACTGATACACCTAACTAACTTCTGGCAATTTTTTGTATCTTTACCATGGCCCATATTCAATATGGCTCTGGCTACATCTCTTATCTCCTGCTTTTGTCTTTCTTATTCACTCTGCTGCAAACATGCACACTTTTTGCTGCTTTTCTAACAGAAGTCTTTGCCCTTGCTGTTCCTTCTGTCTTGAATATTCTTTTTTCAAATATTAGTGTGACGTACAATCTCATTTCAGTTACTTCTCTGCTCAAAGTCTCAAAAAGGCTTTCCCCAACTACTTGATCTAAAGTTATGTCCCACCCTGCTGTATCTGTCTGTCGCCTTCTATACCATGTATTGATTTATTTTTCCTATCACTTTTAATACCAGAAATACGTATTTCTTTTTTGCCTATTGTCTATATTTCCCACTTGAATGTAAGATGCAGGAGGAAAGGAACTTTATTTTGCTCATTGCCTGGCACATGGTACTGTGCTTAGCCCTGAACAGACACTTGATATCTATATGTTAAATGAATGAACGAATGAATGAATATCCCAGCTTTCTCAGCAGCTTTCCTGATCTACTAGATTTGGTTTGGTTCTCATATTATATTTTTCTATCACCATTTATCACTACTTTAATTCTTTATTTGTCTCATAATTATCTCTTCCACTACACAGTAAACTGGAGAAAGGTAGGACTCATATGTCTTGAATATTGTTATATAGTCCTCCCTTGGTATCCCCTGGGGATTGGTTCCAGGACCTCTTCAGACACCAAAATCCAAGCATACTCACACAACTGCAGGACCCTTGGATACAAAAAGTCAGCCCTCTGTATACTGAGGTTTTGTATCCTGGAATACTGTATTTTCCCTTTGAGTTTGGTTACAGATACAGAACCTTCTGATACAGAGAGCTGAGTATATTTATTGAAAAAAATCTGTGTATAAGTGGATCTGTATAGTTCAAACCCATGTTGTTCAAGGGCCAACTGAATACCCAGAGCCTAGCACAGTGCCAGGGACAGGGAGCTCAGTAAGTGTTGAGTGAATGAAGCATGAGGATTTTGATTTATACGAAAATAACTCTTCCAGTAACCCTGCTCATTGGTTCTCCCTTAAGCTAGTGTCATACTATAATTGGCTGATAGTATACTCTATTATATTTAAATTAAAAATTCATTTTTTCAGTCATGCTAGCCTCAAAGTGCTCAATAGTCACATATGGCTAGTAGCTACCATTTTGGATAGCACATATATAGAACATTTCCATCATCACAAATTTTTATTGGGCAGTGTTGGACTGAACACTCTGAAAGCAGAGGGCCATCATAATGTCAGGCCATCTTTTGGAATAATCCTGGGAAAGGGACAAATGAGGGATGTTTGTCATTGTGTAATGGTAAATTGATATTTATTTATTTATTGATTGATTGATTGATTGATTGATTGAGACAGAGTCTCACTTTATTGCCCAGGCTAGAGTGAGTGCCGTGGTGTCAGTCTAGCTCACAGCAACCTCAAACTCCTGGCTCAAGCAATCCTCCTGCCTCAGCCTCCTAAGTAGCTGGGACTACAGGCATTCGCCACCATGCCCGGCTAATTTTTTGTATATATATATATTAGTTGGCCAATTAATTTATTTCTATTTATAGTAGAGACGGGGTCTCCCTCTTGCTCAGGCTGGTTTCGAACTCCTGACCTCGAGCAATCCGCCCGCCTCGGCCTCCCAGAGAGCTAGGATTACAGGCGTGAGCCACCGCGCCCGGCTTGATATTTATTTTTAAAAAATGTTTATTTAATACCTATTCATCTACAGGGATGAGTGTGGGCACAGTGGGAGCTTAGAGACAGAACTGCCCCTCAAGGAGGAAAAAAATCCAGTTGCCAGTAAGGCCAGAACATAAGATAAAATGTAGATTCAGAAGTAGCACGATTGAAAAAATAGAGTTTAGAATGTGCACTGGGAGAAATACAGGAAAAGTGGTAGGAGATTTCGGAGGACAGAGGATTGACTTCTTACAGGAGGGCCCTGTGATGGCTTCCTGAGCTTTGTAGAAACTCTTCTTGATTTTTACTTTGAGGTTCCCACTGCCGTTTGTAGAAAAAAAAATTTTTTTTGAGACAGTGTCTCACTCTGTTGCCTGGGCTAAAGTGCCATGGCATCAGCCTAACTCACAGCAACCTCGAACTCCTGGGCTCAAGTAATCCTACTGCCTCAGCCTCCTGAGTAGTTGGGACTACAGGCATGCACCACTGTGCCCGGTTAATTTTTTTCCATATATTTTTAGTTGTCCAGCTAATTTTGATTTTTTTTTTTTTTAGTAGACACGGGGTCTTGCTCTTGTTGGTCTCAAACTCCTGAGCTCAAACGATCCTCTCGCCTCGGCTTCCCAGAGTGCAAGGATTATAGACATGAGCCACCATGCCTGGCTTGTAGAAATTTCAAGTAAAGTGGCAAATAAAACAAAGATTTTGTGGGGTCAGGACAATCTGGGGTTAAAATCTTTGCTCTCACTAGCTGTGCACATGTGAATCTCAGCTTCCTTGTCTGCAAACTGGGGACAGTAATACTTACTTCTATCATCCTAGAAGGAAGAAGCTCAGGGAAAATTAATATAAGTGGAGGGTTTATTTGGGTCGAACTTAAGGTTTGCAACCTGGGAACATAGATTCAAGTTGCTCTGAATATATACTCTGCTCTGAATATATAGTCTGAATACTTACTCTTTTTGCCTTTAAAGGCAAAAAGTGGGGACAGGGAGTGGATATACAAAGTTGTTTGTCAGGAATTTTCATTCGTTTACAGAAATAGCATTGATTAGTGAGTGGCTTGTTAAGCTATAGGGTGTGGGTTATAGTGTTATTAGGTTAATTTACAGTTACTCGTGGCAATAGCAAGCAGTTTCAGTAGAAGAATGCAACAGCTCTGGGGAAATGGAACATGATTGTTATCTCACTGTCCCTTTGGGACCAATAATTTAAAAAGACTCACATTCCTCTGATAAAAGTTATTTTCTCATTTCATAGGGCTGTTTTGAGGATTAAGAGAAAGTCCAGGATTGTGCCTGGCATATAGTAACTTCTCAGTAAATATTTTCCTCCTGTGTCAGGTGAATGACTTTGGTTATCCAGTTTTGGGCCCATGGTGTGCCATACCTGAATGGCCCTGAAGGGTGTTTGCTCAGGTGTTAAGTTGTGTAGATGGTATATCTTTGGGAAAAGTAGAATAATTAAAAAGAGTGAAAGGTTGCTCTGGGTAAGTTTTTTTCCCTGTAACTTTCCCCATTGGTAAGTTGGGTGGAATCTGCCATTTTCCTAACACTCATCCATGGTGGTGTCATTCTGAATAACAATAGTTGGAACTGGAGCTTTGAGTTGAAAGAAAGGTCTGTCTCTTGCAAAGTAAAATAAAAATCTCAGGACCACCCTCCCCGCAAACTCCTTATACAAAAGGGAAGCTCAAGCCTAGAGGCTGAGTCCTGCAACACCCCTTCCAAAAGAATAGCTGTTACTAACATTATGCATTAGCCAGATCATTTACAAAGACTGCCCCCACAGACCATTCAGAAGGAAATTTTTGCTGGCCTCCCATAAACAAGTACACGATTCCACACTAGCAACACTGATTACAAGTTTATCTTTCCAGGTGTAGAACAGACACGAGATCAATCACTCTTCCACCTACCCAGGGACATCTAGACCATTGATTCTTCCTTTACTCCCTTTTTAAAAATTCACCTATCAAATGTAGATTTCCTGGGCCTCACAAGAACCATACGACTCACTACCCACCCTCTCTCCTTCTTTTTCTTTTTCCCCTTTTTCTTTCTGTATGCCCTCTCCTGTTAAATACCAAGCTCCTAAATCCCACTTGGGAAAAAATAGTCACAGATGCTGTGGCTTGTGTTTTTCCTAAGCACATCCTCAAATTTTGGCTTAATAAACCTCCACTGACTGATAGCTTTGTCTTAGTCCCTTATTTTTGTTTGTCACTCATGCCCAACGGGAGGGTACACATCCAAGACTGTCCAGTTTGGTGTTGTAGGCTCTGGAATCCCACCGACCTGGATTTAAGTTCCCAAACCTATATTCTTAGCTATATGACCTGGAGGGTAGATACTTCACCTCTCTGGTCTTCCGAAATGAGAATAATAATAGTATTTACTGTATAGGGTTGTTAGGAGTTTTAAATGAGTTAATATTAGTAAAGCACTGAGAACGTGGTAGGCACTGCTTATCAATAATATATAAAAATAAGGATAACCTTACAGGCTTGCTGTGAGAATTAAATAATAAATGAAGACAAGTACTTCATGGCAAATGCTTAATAAATGTTAACTATTTTAATGTCTGCAAACTGACTCTAAGGGAAGGCTGTCAGGAAAGACGGTGGGGCAATTTGCACGTTGATAACTCTCAAGGAGAAAATGTTCAGAGGACCATTTGGGACCAGAGTTCAATTGTGAAGAACTTGCTTTATTAAGAATTGTCAGTTCTTATCAAGTCGGCGCTTCGTTAGAAGACTCAGTATTTCGGTCTGAGAAATGGGGGCCAGGACCGAGGTAGAGCTGGGTTCCCAGCTTTGGGACTCAGCATCCTGGACAAATAGCGTCGCAAGAAGACTAAATAGCTGACGCTTTCCAGCCTGCGGGAAGACTGCGCCGGCAAGAGCCTCCTCCGCTCCGCTGTTCCGGGTCCACGCCCCGTCGCACCACGTGACTCACGCCACCCGCCACGTGACCTAGACCGCCGCTCCGCTCCACTCCCGCGCCGCGCGCCGCTTCCGGTAGGGGCGGAAAGCGGAAGTGTGGGTGGGCCTGCGGGGCGGGCTCAGGGAGGCTCGGGGGGAGGATGGAGCTGTGAGCGGGTCTGGGCGGCTGCTGGCAGCGCCATGGAGACCGTGCAGCTGAGGAACCCGCCGCGCCGGTGAGGGGCCACTGGGCTCAGACGAAGGACATGGGGGCGGTGGGAGGGGAAGGCGGGAACCGGCTGAGGGGAGACACCTGCGCGTGAGCTCCTGCCGGGCAGGGAGCGTCGGGGCTAGGCGATCCAGCTGATGGGGCACCTGCTGAGTTGGGGTGGGGGCGCGTCTGGCGAGTGGGGGTCCGGCTGAAGGGAGCACCGGCTAAGGGGAATAAACTTGGGGCTGGTTAGGAGGAGCCTCGCTGTGGGGGCACTCTGCTGAGGGACATGGGGACAAGTTAGGGAGAGTACCTGCTGAGGCCGGAGCCACTCGGGGGAAGGCTATACAAGAAGGGTCTCCCGGAGGTAGGGGGAATGCTGAAGCAGGATGAGAGCCTATGAGAGGTCTGTTTAAGGCAATGGATCTAGAACTAGAAAAGAGGAAGGCTGCGTGGACTTTCTAAGGGTCCTAAGTCCCAATTGAAGGGTGCAGTGGGGGGACGATCTGTTGAGCGGAAAAGCTTTGCGCCTAAGGCTAAAGACATGCAAGGAAAGGCTGAGGATCTAGCAAAGGAGGGGTTCGTGGAGGACTCCATTTGGGAGGATGCTCTTGGTGGTGTCCCCACTGTAGGATAATGATGGCATCTTTTATTACGGATGTCCAGAGTGTCTTCTTAATTGTCTCCACATCCTCAGCCCTTCAAAGTCCAACATTGGGAGATAGGTAAGGAAATAAGAGGATATTTTCAAGATGGGCAAACTGAGGTCCAGAAGAATTGAGACACGTGTTTCTTTCTTTGCTTTGGGTCACTGGTCCTGGCCAGACTGTGCCCTTTTCAGGACTCTTGTTTTGTGAATATCAGCTCCAGATCCTAGTGGTAGGTGGAATTGTATTTGGTCGAGATTAGGGAGGTGGCTGATCCTAGAAATTCTGAATTCCTGGCTTGGTTGCAGTTGTATCATTGATTTCCCCTGTGGATATCTGGAGAAAGGGAGTAGAGACTGAGGGAGTCATGCTCCTCTGAGGTGCAGTGTAGTTAACTTCTTTTGCACAGACAACGTCTAACTTCCTGAAGCAGAATGAACACTAAAGTAGGAAGTGTTCAGTGTGTGGGAGTGCTGGGCAAGGAGAGGTGAAGGGAAGAGATTAACAGCCTGGGCAGCACTCTTGGGGGTTGTTTGAGCTTGGGGGTGTTTGAAGTGCACAAACATTGCAGAAGGCAAATAGCTGGTTGGAATGGGCTTAAGATTCACCCTAGTGTAGGTGTGCTGAGATTGTAATAGTAATGATTGTTACGCTCCTATAGCACTTACTGGGTGCCAGGCATTGTTTGAAGTGCTTTCCATGTCCCCTGTTGAACCATATGACATTGCTGATATTTGACAATTTTTGACCTAGGAAACAGTAATTTCATATGGTTCAACTTACTATTGATTCATTTGATGCTCACAACAATCCTATAAGATGGATATCCCTATATCCATATTTCACAGATGATGAAACAGGCGTAGAGAGGCTAGTGATTTGCTGGAGTTCCTGTAGCTGGTAAGAGCAGAGCTGGGATTTTCATATCCAGGCAATCTGGTCCAAAGTCCATGCTCTTCATTGTCTCACTCCAATGCCTCTCTAGAAGTACCCATGTTTCACAGGTGTTTGTGTGTGTTAGCAGATATTTGCTGTGGCACCATAGTGATCTAATTATAAGTGGACTCTGGTTATGTTTCTTTTTGAAATACATTTGTCTGTTCTTCATTTTTTTCTCTGAGGCCTTAGTTTAGTTGAAAAGAAGATTAGGAATCTATGAGTTTTGTTTCTCCCTTTGCCTTGTGTTGTATAATCTCAGGCAAAGGAGTAAACCTTGACATGTTCATTCTTGTACCTTTTGGATTTTAAAAAATGTATTAAAAGTGCAAGAAAAGAGCATTCCAGGACTGAGTTTTTGAGTGACTACTGCCTGCTCTCCTACTCTTTGTAACTAGTGGACTACCTAATTTGCAACAGTTTAATTTTATTATGATTTGTGTTATTTTGTTAGGACTGCCATAACAAAATATCATGGTGATTTAAACACCAGAAATTTATGTTCTTGTAGTTTTGGGGGTTAGAGATCTGAAATCAAAGTGTTGGCAGGGTTTTCTCTTTTGAGGCCTCTCTCCTTGGCTTATAGGTCACTGTCTTCTTCCTGTGTCTTCATGTTCTTCTCTCTGAACCTGTCTGTGTCCTAATCTCTCCTTCTTGTAAGTACACTAGTCATATTGGATAAGGGTTCACCTGAATGACCTTATTTTACTCTAATTACTTTTTTTTTTTTTTTTTTTGAGACAGTCTCTCACTTTGTTGCCCAGGCTAGGGTGAGTGCCCTGGCGTCAGCCTGGCTCACAGCAACCTCAAACTCCTGGGCTCAAGCGATCTGATCCTTCTGCCTCAGCCTCTTGAGTAGCTGGGACTACAGGCATGTGCCACTGTGCCCAGCTAATTTTTTCTAAATATATTAATTGGCCAATTAATTTCTTTCTATTTATAGTAGAGACAGGGTCTCGCTCTTGCTCAGGTTGGTTTCGAACTCCTGAGCTCAAACAATCCGCCCTCCTCAGCCTCCCAGAGAGCTAGGATTACAAGTGTGAGCCACCGCGCCCGCCACTTCTTTTTTTTTTTTTTTTTTTTTTTTTTTGAGACAGAGTCTCTGTTGCCTGGGCTAGAGTGCCATGACGTCAGCCTAGTTCACAGCAACCTGAAACTCCTGGGCTCAAGTGATCCTCCTGCCTCAGCCTCCCGGGTAGCTGGGACTATAGGTACACACCATTGCGCCTGGCTAATTTTTTCTATTTTTAGTTGTTTGGCTAATTTCTTTCATTTATAGTAGAGACGGGGGTCTTGTGCTTGTTGAGGCTGGTCTCAAAGTCCTGAGCTCAAGCAATCCTCCCGCCTTGGCCTCCCAGAGTGCTAGGATTACAGGCATGATGTAATTACTTCTTTAAAGGCCCTGTCTCCAAATACAGTCACATTTGGAGGTACTGGGAGTTAGGACTTCTTTTTTTTTTTTTTTTGAGACAGAGTCTCACTTTGTTGCCCCGGCTAGAGTGCCATGGTGTCAGCCTAGCTCACAGCAACCTCAAACTCCTGGGCTTAAGCAATCCTGCTGCCTCAGCCTCCCAAGTAGCTGGGATTACAGGCATGTGCCACAATGCCCAGCTAATTTTTTCTCTATATATTTTTAGTTGGCCAATTAATTTCTTTCTAGTAGAGATGGGGGGTCTCACTCTTGGTCAGGCTGGTTTCGAACTCTCGATCTTGAGGGATTCTCCCACCTCGGCCTCCCAGAGTGCTAGGATTACAGGTGTGAGCCACCGTGCCCGGCCAGGACTTCAACATAAGCAATGGGGTGGAGTGGAGGAAGCAATTAATGTTACTATCATTAAAAAAGTTAATCAATTTATCTTATATGTTTGTTGTAACCCATCAAATTCTGTGTAGAAAGAGGGATTGTCATACAAAGATAAAATGAACTTTACAAAAGTTCTGTGTTGGGAGAAAGAGGTTTGAGAATTAGCTCAACCTGAGAGTACTTCTGAAACACCATTACTTGTGTTAGGAAAGATACAGATGTCTTTCCAGAGAATCAGATCGCATGTGTTTCCAACAACCCCAATGCAGGAAATGCTCTTTGTGTTCATAAGTGTGACATTTGTGTGTGACTAAGTGAATGATGATAGATTGATTGATGTCTTACATAGGAGTTAATGATTTTAAAAGTGAGTTGTCATTGGGTAATGATGTGGTGGAAGGTGTAGAGTGCAGTCCTGGGATGCTGGCCATATGTGTGGCTGTGTGACTTAGGAGTAGAGCATCCACCAGTATTTGATGGAGGCTGTATTGCCCAGGCCTGTTCGTTTATGAGCAACTGCTGAAACTGCCTAGGACCTGGGGAAGTCCCAGATGGAAGAGTTGCTTTATCAAAGTCAGGCTGTTTCAGTAATAGTGTTTATTCTGTCCAGAGTCATGGTATAAAATATCATTATGAGTCACTTATTAAAAGATTTTTTTCATAAAAATCTTAATTGTTGATAACCCAGTAATACTTTTTAGGTGAAATTCTGTTTTGTTTTGATAACTCAACAAAGATTGCTGATGAAGTTTATGATTCCCATCATTACATTTGCTAATATTTAGCAAATATTTTTTGATTGCCTCTTGGTTATCAGGCGCCAGAGATATAAAGACCTCTTAAGTTCAAGTTGTTTTAAATAACCCCAGATCAAAAACAAACAAAAAGCCACTTAGATTGTTTTAAAGAAGTATCTGAGCAGTCATATAAAGTTTGTCTGTCAAAGTATTATCAGAGGCTTGCAGCTGTCTCATGGCAGTGGCAGTTTCCTTTGTTATGCTGTGGTCTCTGTAGTAGTTGAAACAGTGAATTTTGCTTTTTGTAAACCACCAAGAGTCAACACTTCAAAGAAGCACATTTGATCTTCCTTTATATAAGCTGTTTATAAGACTTTAATTACACTTGAGAAATGAGGTATTGTTCATTGTTTATACAGCTATAATTCAGGGCCTTACAAAAAAAACTCTAGCATGTGAGATGTTCATTCTAACTTCTGAGTTCATAGAAATTTCATTTCTAAAGTTTAAGAGGAGTTTCACTTCATCCTTTTTTGTTTTGAAGGTGGGAGTTTTTATGATGTCATTGGAATTTAATTTTTAGGACTTTTTGATTTTTCAAAGGTCATTGTAGTCATTTTGTTTTGTTGATAGTCAAGTTAAGGCAATTATTGACTTGGAACAGTTCTCTATTTCTCTAGTAAGTACATAGTCCTTGATAGTTATCAACTTCTGTGAAATTATCCTTTTGAGATCAGAGTTTATTGATAAATACACACTTGATGCAGTAAGGGTTTTTTTTTGTCTTCTGATATTGCTATTTTCTTTAGGAAGGTATACATTTGTGTGTGTGTGTGTGTGTTTTGATTCACATCTTTTCTTACAATAATGATACTGTGTAACTAGTTTAAATCTTTTTCTTTATAAAGAAATCCCCAGTGTGACTACTTCCATATTTCACCATTTCCTGAGCTCTCTATTCTTCGTTGTCCTTTGTAGTTTCAGGAAGCCATTGTGTAGACGATGCACACATACACATACACAAATATTCCTTACCAAGCTCCTTCTTTAAGCTCATTAATAATTTTCAGAAATTCCAGAGTTTTAAAAGATATTGTTAATTTGTAACCTCCTATGTTTGTCATGATTATCTAACAGAAATCTGAACTATCTGGAAGTTGTGAGCAGCCATATACCTTTGATTTTGGGGACTAGTCAAAGGTACATGGCTGTTTGTGGGAGGATCTTTGTGAGACTATTTGAAACTCCCAGCTTCCTAGTTATTTTTCACTTTTGATCATGTCTAAATGTACACTTTCCACTTTCTGTTTCTGTGATACCTATAGAATTTATGTATTTTGCCAAAATTAACCAAAAACTTGCTAATGGGAGAGCAAAGGTCTCCCGTGTCTTCCTTGGCCTCCAGTCCAGTTCATAGTTATGTTTCAATTCATAGTTAACCTTACATTAAACATCTTTTCTGAAGAGATAATTATGTCATTTTAATTCGTGGACTCTCAAGATTTAAATGGGTTTTAGGGTCTAGATGTGGTGGCTCATACCTGTAATACAAGCACTTTGCAGTCAAATGCTCTACCCTGACCTATACCCCCAGTACCAGCACTTTTGAAGGCTGAGGCAGAAGGATTACTTGAGGCCAGGAGTTCGAGACCCTGTATTTAAAAAGAAAAGGAGAAAAATTAGCCAGGTGTGGTGGTCCACCCCTGTAGATCCAGCTTACTTGGGAAACTGAGGCAGGAGGATCACTTGAGCCCAGAGGTTCAAGGTTACAGTGAGCTATGGTTGGGCCATTGCACTCCAGCTTAGGTGACACAGTGAGACCCTGTCTCTTAAAAAAAAACACAAAAAAACAAAACTGGATTATAAAGGACATATCTCTTGCTTGAATCCACTCTTCAGCATTTCAGCCACATGACAATTCATTTTCTGTTTAGATTTTCCAGCAGTGGGGAACTAGGGACCTCTTAAGGCAATCTAAACCATTGTAGGACAAGTTTTATTGTTAGAAAATTCTTACCCGTGTTAAACTGAAGTCTGACTCTTGGCATCTCTCTACCTTCTGGTCCTGATTTTGCTTATCAGGGTGCCCCAGAACAAGTATAATCCTTCTGTAGAACAGTACATCAGTGTCCCTTAAAAGCATCTTAGTTTGCCTTTGCTGTTGTTTACTAGTAAAGACTTTGTAGAGGAATTCCGAGGATGCTAATTGTAAAAACAAAGGATGTATTTTATGTTCTAGTTACTAGCAAGTAAAATGTATTTTGTATTTATATTTCTTCATTCACAGGCAGCTGAAAAAGTTGGATGAAGATAGTTTAACCAAACAACCAGAAGAAGTGTTTGATGTCTTAGAGAAACTTGGAGAAGGGTAAGTATAAAGAAAATAAATGTCTCAGTCTTTTTCCTGAGCACCAGAAGCACGTGAACCTTTTTGCCAGCACCAGAAGCACGTGAACCTTTCTCATGGCAGTAATTCCCAAACCTGAGAAGAAAGAGGCATGTTGCTTATCAGCTTGGCTCCCTGTGTGGTGGGAGGTAAATTTACAGCTTGAAATGCCCTCCCCCACTTCACCCTAGTCACTATTTTAGACAGATTTAGTGATTCCTGGTCTTCCTAACCAAGGACATCTGTTGTTTTCTCTTTTGTAGAATCTTTGGTTTGTATGATTTTATCTTTTTAAAAGATAGCACTAATTAAGTTTTAATAATTCATCAACATTTTTAACATTTGCTGCTCATAACTTCTGATTGGTATGCTATAACTTTTGTTGCAATAAAAAACAATGGAATTCAGCATTGTAGTTTTTGCAGCTTTGTGAAATACTGTAAATAAATCAAGGACTGTCGCCACCTTTACAGCTTCCTAGGAGATCCAGAATCCCAGCCTGGGAGCCAGTTGACTTCTTGAAACACACAACTGTGAATGAGTTTATAAAATACTGATGAAATGATGTTTAGTAATAGGCAGTGCCTCTTATTGACTTTTGTGATACAATACAGTTTACATTATACTTTTTATTTTTATTTTTTTTTTTGAGACAGAGTCTCACTTTGTTGCCCAGGCTAGGGTGAGTGCCATGGTGTCAGCCTAGCTCACAGCAACCTCAATCTCCTAGGCTCAAGCGATCCTCCTGCCTCAGCCTCTTGAGTAGCTGGGACTACAGGCATGCGCCACCATGCCCAGCTAATTTTTTCTATATATATTTTTAGTTGGTCAATTAGTTTCTTTCGATTTTTTTTTTAGTAGAGACGGGGTCTTGCTCAGGCTGGTTTTGAACTCCTGACCTCAAGCAATCCGCTTGCCTCGGCCTCCCAGAGTGCTAGGATTAGAGGCGTGAGCCACCACACCTGGCCTACATTATACTTTTTTATACTTTTACATATCCTTTTAATTTAATCATGATTTATTACTTCTGTAAAGAACAGGACATTATAGTATTAGGGACATACTTAAGTTTTGTTGTTAATTTTTGAATAGGTAATAAAGTCATATGACTTCAAATTCAAAAGCTATAAAAATGTATATAATAATAAGATCTGCCCTCTACCTCTGTCTCTCAACTATCCAGGAGCAACCAGTGTAGCAGCTTCTTGTGTATCTTTCAGAGAAAGGTTATGCATATATCAGCAGATACGTGTGTGTGTGTGTGTTTAATCTCTTAGGGGTACTTCTGGATGGAGAGAAGACCCGACATATTTTAAAACCTTTAAAAACATTTACTGTCTCAAGACTGCTATTGAAAACTCATCTTTTATGCATCATTAGATTATTTTTGGGGTTTGGTGTTTTTTATGCCTAATGTAGAGCCACAATAATGTCAGACTCAATCCTAATTACATAGAATAGTTTTTCGTAGTTGACCTCCTTGTAAAAAGCATTAGTCATCGTCTTTTTGTAAGTTGGAAAAATACTCTTTGGAATCCAGCAAGAGATCAAGCAGAGAAGGAAAGCAAAAACTGACACCAACTGTGCTGCCAAAGGACAAGTTCAAGATGAATCTGAAGACTGCCAGTTGACTGGCATCATTAAAGGTATGGGTCAATGATAGTCCCTCTATGTCTCTTGCCGGCCATTTTCAGCTTGACATCCTTGCTGTTTTCCTCAAGGCAGTGAGTCTATGGCCCGTAATGTAACAATGCTCATAGGTTGTACTCAGAATAAGATAAAGAATAGTATGCATAATTGACTATGTAACTAATTTCTTTCTTTCATTTCTAAGAAAAGCATGTTATAGTAGTGGGAGCATAGACTTTATAGATTATAGTGGTTCACTCCTGTAATCCAGCACTTTGGGAGGCTGAGGTGGGAGAATCGCTCGAGGCCAGGAATTTAAGACCAGCCTGAGCAGCATAGCGAGACCTTGTCTCTACAAAAAATTAAAAAAAAAAAATTAGCCAGGCATGATGGCACATACCTATAGTCCTGGCTACTTGGGAGGCTGAGGCAATAGGATGGCTTGAGCCCAGGAGTTCGAGGTTGCTGTGAGCTACAATGATGCCACTGTACTCTAACCTGGGCAATAGAGAGAGACCCTGTCTGAAAATAAAATTCCTTGCTTTCCTATTTATTGGTCATAATAAACAAGTGAGCTTGAACAAATTGCTTAATATTTTGAAGGCTCACAGTCCTCATCTATAAAGTGGGAATAATAATAGTATCTACTTCATAGAGTCGTGGCAAGTATTATTACATGAAATAATAGGGGTAGAGTGCCAAGTACAATGGTTGTCACATAGTAAGTGCTCAGTAAGTGGCAACTATTTCATTTTTAAATATATCAACTGAAGCATTTTTCATACCTCAGCATGTGAAATCAAAGTTAAATCTTAAGTCTTAAAGTATATTTAGGTGTTCTTACAAGTAACTCTGTTAGGGTTGCTTTGGTTTGAGGATTGTTAAAACTATAGACAGAATATATCAGGAATATAATGTAAGGACAAACTAAGCTAATTATGAATAATTTTGAATTATGTTTTAGATGTATGGATGTCTTCAGCAAGCAACCTGGAAATTTCCCTATAAAGATATCACCAGGGAGAAAACAAATAAAGCTTCAGATCTTTCTTCCCATGCTGTCACCATGGTGCTCTTTTAAATGATACCACAGATGCTTGGATTTCTGTCATCTTGACTGAATGAAGCTGAGCAAACTTCATTTAACTAGGAAAATCCTGAAGGAAGACCTTAACTGAACTTCTTTCCACACACATTCTGCTATGTCATCCTTAAATTGTTCTGGAGAATGAATGGATTGTGAACTCTCACTGACTTGTGTCTTGTGAAATGAGCTATGGTTCACAGACTGTATTGGATGCTGCAGTTGTTCTGTGTTTTGAGGAAATCGTATGGATCTGTGGCAGTGTAGAGCCAAAGCTCCAGACCAAGTTGAGGGGAGAGCACTTGGAAGATGTTTTGATTTGGAGCCTAGCACCTTTTTGTATTACACTTAAAAGTTTTAAGTGTAATACTCATTTAAGTTTTTATCACAGAATGATAACAAAAGCATTCTGCCCATGGTTTCATAGCTAGTGAGTGCTGTTGTTAAGACTTGTACCTGGTTAGTTTGGCCTTAGATACTGTGTTATTAGCATTTTTCTACATCGAGCCTTGCCTTATATGGCTGGTATGAAACACCTGCTTATCCATCCTCTTTGCTCTCCACCAGTTGTAATTCATTGAGTCATTTCATTTTTGTCATAAGGATTCAGGTTTTAAGGAACTTGCCTTTGAGGGAGTGATTGCTAAAGTCTTCAAAAAAAAAAGTCCTCTCAGATTACTGTAAATGTGGTGTGTGGAATCACGAATCTTAATTGTTCAGAGTTTTCTTTGCAATCCAGAGAGTGTAGAGTGTTCTGGTGACTGCTGAATGAGTCATGCAGAGACCTCTCCTTTCCATTTCTAATACATAAGAATAATGATTGAAAATAAGTTTTTAAAAAATATAAGAATATATAGCTATGGACAAGGGATAGAAAAGAAATATCTGTACTATTAAGAGGAGGGTAAAGTGTACCCTATTCTTGTCAGGAAAATGCATTTGGGTTTCCTATGTGGATTTGTGGTCTGGGTCTAGGCTCCCCATTTATGAACTTAAGCTGAAATAAGTTTGCCTGACCACCACTAGAGAGTATCATTTGCCTGCGGTTGTGAAAAAGTGGAGGTACTGGTCTGATAATAGGAACTGAGCCACTGAGCCCGGACTGTATTCAAGTGGTGTCTCAAAGGGTAAAAACCCAGTCTCCTACTATAAGGCCTGGTTTAAGTTGTATAGTCCATATGACTGGGCTGAGGGAACCATGAAACCATCTGACAGTGATTGTGTAGAAGAACATCATTCAAGGTAAAATGAAATCCATGCAAGGAAATCCACTGCCATGAGGTGATCAGCAGAATGAGAATTCACACTCAAGGACCTAGAAATAATGGTGCAATCTGAAGAGGGATTGAATATATTTATGATTTCCAAAGAGATAAAAGGAAAGAATAAAATTCTTAAAAGAAGAGTACCAGATTGTTAACATGAACAGTTAGCCCAGTGGAAAATAAAAAGTTGGGAATCTCGACAGTGGAAATTACAATAATTGAAGTTTTATAATACAAGCCCAATAAATTGGATAAACAGTAGCATAGACAAACTGAAAAGAGAATTTGTGAATTGAAAGAAATGAGACTGATCACAAAATGCAGAACAGAGAAATACAGTATTGGAAACCAAGAAAACAGCATGGATTCAGGAGGCCCAATATACATCTACTAGGAATTCCAGAATAATATATTAGGAGAGATAAAGAGAAGAAATAAAGAGATAATGCTGAGAGTTTTGCACACCTGAAGAACTACTTAAGCCCTCAGATTGAAGAAGTTTATGAAGTGCCAAATAAATCAACTCCAAGTTACGCTAACATTGTAGAATGTTAAGGATAAAGAAATCTTAATTGTATGGAGAGGTTACCTATGAAAATTGATAATCTGATGAAAGCAGACTTCTCAGCAACAGTAGATGCTGGAGAACTGCAGTGCAAGTGCTGAGGGACAGCTGTTGTCAGACAATTCTATATTCAGCAAAACTCATTCCAGAGGAAAGGTGAAATAAAGGCATTTTCAGACATATGGGACCTGATGTGTCTAGAATGCCTTTGGATGGAAGTAATAATACCCCATTAACAGTGATTAATCAATAAAGGCATTTAATGACTAAAATATGTGGACAAGAGATTACAGGAATGGTTAATTGGCTTGATAGTATGGTTTGGCATCTGGGTAATTCTGTTTCAAGATGTCAGCATTAGTTTCAAGCAGCATCCTTCACACTATAGTAATCAAGGCAGCAAGGGAAGTAGCCTTCTTGTGTGCTGCTCTCTTACCAGGGAAGAAAAGCTTTCCCAGAAATCCTTCAGCAGAATTCTCCTCAGATTTAATTGGCCAGAACTGGGTAATATGATTGCTACTAGTTCCATCACTGGTAGAAGGGAGTAGCAATCCTAAGACTGGCTTAGACTAATATGATGTATCCCTCTGAGACCAAGCATATCACCACCCTAATAAATCAGGGGGTTATTTTAGTAAGGAAGAAGGGGCGCAGTGTTTGGGTCATCCACACAGGGTCAACAGTTGCCTCTTTTCTGGTAAAAACATTTGATACCATATTTAAAGATCATACTAGTTTTACAAATATAAGAGTTTCTGATAGAATGGAAATTTTTTATGTGTTCTGCATAGACCGAAAGTTTTATGTTTAAAACGATTCTTAAGCATCTATTTAGAAGCTAGAGTATTCTACTATTTGACATATTAGGTGGCACTGTTATTGTGAATCTTTTTCACCAAGGCACTGTGAAGATAAAGGTGTGTTTTGGAAATATGAAAGACAGTTTGCTCACTATTATTTCACTGACAGCTGCCCAGGATTTTAATGATAATGTAATCTGTGTAAGGTGATGATATCTCATGTGACCAAAACACCTATCTTGTAAGGTAATTTGTGTTATTGTCATTTTACAGTTGAGAAAATTGAAGCACAACAAAGTTATAACATGTCTATAAATGGTAGCCAATAATGTAGTGGTGTTAGGACTCAAATTCTAGGTCTTTATGTTCCAAATCTGTGCTCCTATAGCCCCCAAATTGAGTGAATACATAAACCTTATTTCATATTAAGCTCTTAAGGCAAGATGGAGTAGAAGGCAAAAAGAATTTCTATGTGCAGTGTTCACCTGATACTAGCATTAAAGGTTTAGATTTTAATTAGTTTCCATAATATTTTAAGCATTATTGCAGGTAAGAGGAACAAGGACAGAAAGATCTTGTGGTACTAGAGTGAATGCAAGAAAACAAAGACCTTCACTTCATTATTGTATCCCAGTATAGATGTGGAGAGAACATAGCTTTGTTTTCAGAAAAACATCTAGGTTCAGTCCTGGACTGACCACTTGTCACTTATGTGGCCTTTGGCAAATTATGTAACCTCTCTGAACTTCTTTATATTTACCTGTAAAATAGGGATAATTACCTCTTCCTCATTTTTTTTTTTTTTTTGTGTGAGAATGAATTGAGATGGTGCATGGTTTCTGGTAGACAGCAGGCATACAATACATGGTGGCTACTATGTTATTATGTCATAATAGTACATTCATTAAAGTTTAAATGCGAAGCTTTTAAGATGCCATTTTGTGGTGGTTCTCTTGACGGTTCCGCCCCCCCCCCAAAGGACTTAGTTTTGCAAGTGTAGCTATATACTTATAGTATTAATATTATATTATCTAATATATCATTAGGCACCTAGGGATATAAATTAGAACCATGAGTTGCTTGTGTTTTGCCCCTTCTTATCTCTTGGGTTGCTTTGACTTTATAAATGTTCTCCTTCCTCCAATTACAGGTCCTATGGCAGTGTATACAAAGCTATTCATAAAGAGACTGGTCAGATTGTTGCTATTAAGCAAGTTCCTGTGGAATCAGACCTGCAGGAGATAATCAAAGAAATCTCTATAATGCAGCAATGTGACAGGTAAAGTTGTGTGGGCTTCCTTTGGAGACAATGTGGTTTTGAATTTGCTGTGATTATTTAGAGTTTGACACCTAGAAATGCATTTACTTAGATATTTTGCAGAAGGAAGAGTTTAATGGAATCACTATGCATCTTTTCAGAAAAAGATATGAAAAAGTTTGTAGGTTTTTGTAGCTAAACGTTTATAGTTTCTATTTCTGCATATTTTTTTCTTTTTTTCAGTAACCCCTTTTAAAAACTAGGAAGAAGAGACAGAAGGTGGTGCTTGCTTTTTTTTTTTTTTTTTTGATAATGATCTCTTTTATTTCCTATTGAGAAAACATCTCGGCAGAGATAGCTAAGGAGAGAAAATTCACATGCTTTTTATCTCTAGAAACCTTAGGGTATGAAATAAGTCTATAAAAAGAGAGTATTTATTTATGTATTATTATTTTTTCCTTCACATTAAAAAAAATTATTCAAGCTAAGAGTAGTTAAGTGTTTTATTTTTGAGGAACTAAGATTTGTCAAGTGCTGTAAGCAGGAAGTCAGGCCAAAAGGCGACCGCAGAAAAGCACGTGGTCTGCTCTGAAATTCTGTGACAACATGGGCTGGTCACAGCAGGCTTCCCCAGCACTATGTAGATTCGAGAGAAATGCAAAGTTAAGTAGTTGTAGGTAGTTGGAAGGAGGGTGAAAAATTCTTGCAGTTGAGGCTGCATTTTTGGTGAGCAGATCAACTTAGTACCTCCTATGTATAAAACTTCAACATTGGGGCAGGTGGGTCAACCTAGTAGGAAATTTGTCCAGAAGCCCTTAAGTCTCATAAACTTGTAAATGCAGCCATTTCTCTTCTCTTTCCCTCTCTCCCTCCCCTTTTTTTCTTTCTACTTTTATGGTTACTATCTACTAGATAAAACTCCCATTTTTCTTGATTGGAATTGATCAGGTTAAGGTGACAGTTCCTCTGTAAGATGCATTACAGAAGTTCTTTCTAGTTGGCAAATTGGACATAGTCGCTTTTGATAGACTACACAGGAGCTCTGTCCAAACAGGGTATGGAAATGTCTCTAAGCAAAGAGATATTTTGAAGAGCCTACTCTGTGCTAAACACTCTAAGGAGTACAGCTAAATACAGAGTTCTTATGCATTGGGAGTTTGTGGACTAACTGGACAGGTTAAGCATATATATGTACAGGAAAAATCTAGGCGGCAATGCAAGACTACATAGAACATATTCCAATGTTAAATACACGGTAGTTCTTGCCTGTAATATTTAACTCATGTAAATACTGTAATACAATATTTGTACTTGTACTTATCAGGATTTTAGGGAAGGGAGAGCAAATGTAGTGACCTTTACCTTAGAGACTTAGTCATCCACTTCTCTGTTAATTTTCATTTTGTTTGTGTGTTTTTTTCTTCCCTTGTCTTTGGAATTTTTCCCAGAAAGAAGGGGTGTTTGAAAATCTGAGAGTTAATGAAGATGATTTGGTTTTAGCATCTTCAGTTATTATGTGACTTTATTTGGCCCTGATAATTGTCTAGCCAGATAAAGCTGGTAGCTCTTTAAGGGCAGGCAGATTATTTCATTTTAATGGGATGTTTGATTTTTTTTTTTTATGAAATTTCATGTTTGGCATCTCTCCTCAAGCTTGAGACCTAAAATTCCAGGTCTGACCTGACCACTTTTTCTTCATAATAGATTATAGTGTGTGTGTGTTTTCTACAAACTACATAGGACTTCTTAGAAAAATGCAAATGAAAAGAAAAATATTGCTTTTCCCTTTGGAGAAATCATCATTGTTAAATACTGCTTTTAATATATATATATTCTTCTTTATCTCTTTTTGGAGTTTTACTGTACTTACTATTTTGTAGCCTGCCCCACCCCCCTTTTTTTTGTAAACAAGATATCTTCTCATGTTATCAAATATACCTTTATAACATTTTTTGTGGGTTCATGATGTTCCATTATATGGCTATATCTTTCTTTTTTTTTATGGTTTTTAAACTTTATTTGATATATTTAATAATCAGTGGTTAGTTCTCATCCACGTTGACTGTAGATTTTTGAAAATGGTAACAGGTACATAGGTAACCAAAGTATAGAGCTTGTTTGGTGAATCTTCATCCTCATTACGTTTCCTGGACAACCGCACATGAATCCTGTATGGGACATTCCTTATTCCTTTGGCCCAGACAGCTTTGTTGAGCCTGGTATCGATGCGCACATCTGGAGTTCCCATCTCCTTCATGGCAAATTTCCAGATTTCTTTGATGCCCGAGGGGCACGCTTCTTGAAGCCCACTCCATGGAAGCCCACTCCATGGATGGTGTATTCTCGGGTTACCACTTTGTTGATAGCAGAACGGCCCTTCTTCTTCTCACCACCCTTCTTTGCGGGAGCTATTCTGCCGGGCCCAAGTCAGAAAGCCTTTTTTTTTTTTTTGAGACAGAGTCTCACTCTTGCCCGGGCTGGAGTGCCGTGGCATCAACTTAGTTCATAGCAACCTCACACTCCTGGGCTCAAGTGATCCTTCTGCCTCAGCCTCCCAAGTAATTGGGACTACAGACCCGCACCACCATTCCTGGCTAATTTTTTTCTATATATTTTTAGTTGGCCAATTAATTTGTTTCTATTTATAGTAGAAACAGGGTCTCACTCTTGCTCAGGCCGGTTTTGAACTCCTGACCTTGAGCAATCCACCCACCTTGGCCTCCCAGAGTGCTAGGATTACAGGTGTGAGCTACCGCGGCCGGCCTATATCTTTATTTCTTGAATAAACTTCCTAATGTTGGATGGACATTTAGATGGTATCTAAATTTTGACTTTTATCAACAGTACTATATTGGTAACTGTTTATTTTTGAACATTTATAATTCTTTTCTGAGGATAAGTTGTAGACTTAGAAATGCAGGTTAAAGATCCCACCTATTTTTTATACTTATTTATTGCCCTCCAGAAAAGCTATGCCATTGTACATTCTTGTCAGGAGGTTGCCCATTTTTACCTTAACAATGAATAATTGATCTTCTGAGATGAATTAATTTTCATATATTTAATAGCATGAATAGAGATGTTTTAAGGCTGTTTCTACTAATTTATATTGCCTTTCTCTCTCTAGCCCACATGTAGTCAAGTATTATGGCAGTTATTTTAAGAACACAGACTTGTGGATCGTTATGGAGTACTGTGGGGCTGGTTCTGTGTCTGATATCATTCGATTACGAAATAAAACGGTAAGTTTACCTTCTTGAACAATGCAACTGAGCTAGTCTCTTATGCCATCTTCTTTTCTCTGGCCTCTTATTTATGTGCATTCTCCTAGTACCGTATGTACAGAGATGCCTGGCAGATTTCCTCTGCCAGGGTTCAGACCTCATGATTCTTTCTCCTCTAAAGAGGGCTAGATTATGTTGGGTATTATAGGTCATGGGAACGAGTTTGGAATTTATTCCAAGGATGATAGGAAACCATTGCTGGGTAGTCAGCAAGTGTATGAACCATCTGATGAATGTTTTAAAAAGGAAACTCTGGTTTCTGTGTAGATTGTGGGTGGATAAGAGTAGAGCAGGGGAAATCTTAGCTCTTAGACTTTTTGTCTTAATAAGAAAAATAAGAATAATGATACCCATATTAAATATATGAAAAGTGGTGAAAATCAATTTAATAGGTAAATATACTTTGTAAATTGTCAGGTGTTATGCAAAATATAAGGTGGAGGTGTTTTAAAACTCAGTTATAACCTTGGATTATCCATACATTATCTCCTTTTCTTAATTTACATTATTTAGGATTAGTGTGTTTGCCTAATCAAATAAGAAGTTGTTTAGCTAGGAATAATATCCTCACATAAGATGTATTTAAAGAAGTCCCAAAACTTGAATACTTTTTTAAATTAAAAATTGGGCTCTAGGGCTTCCTATTAGTATATGCAGCATTAAGTTCTTTTGTTTTAGGTATTTTAAAACAAAACCAATTTTGATGCCACTTTTAGTATCTTTTGAAATCTTAGTGTTTATTATGTTTATATAACTTTTAAGTGCTGATTTTTTTATTATACATTATTTTGCCAAATATTATAACTCTGTGCTGTCTAGCACAATAGCCACTTGCCACAGTGGTTATTGAGGACTTGAAATGTGGCCAGTCTGAATTGAGATACGCTGTAAGTATAAAGTACACACTAGAGTTTGAAGAATTATTATACCAAAAAATGTAAAAATATCTTTTATATTGATCACATGGCAGAATGATAATATTTTTGGATAAATATGGTTAAGTAAAATATATTACCAACATTATACTTGTTCCTTTTTTTATTTCTTTTTTCTTTTTTTGGAGATAAGGTCTCACTAGGTTGCCCAGGCTGGCCTCAAACACCTGGGTTCAAACGATCCTCCTGCCTCAGCCTCCCAAGTAACTGGAGTGCTCCCGGCTCTTGTTTCTTTTTAAAATGTGGCTACTAGGAAATTAAAAATTACATTTGTAGCTTCCATTATATTTCCATTGGGCAGTGCTGCTTGAACTCATTAGCTCAGTTTGTTAGAGTAAGGACTCAGTAAGTCAAGTCATGAGCTTTGTTCTCTTTGTCCACAAGAAGGTGCCCCAAACTCTAACCTGCTGTCTTGCCTGTAGTGTTTGCCTGGACTTTAGTGAAAGCTTTATAATTTATTAGCTCTGTGACCTTTGGCACAAATTACTTGTCTGTTCTCAGCTTCATTATCTATAAAATAATGTTGATAATAGTTCCTTTACCTCATTTAGTTGTTATAAGGATTAAATGAGATTCCAAAAATGGTGCTTAGCATAGATAAAACACTTAGTAATGATTAGCTATTTTTAATATTATTATAGTGTCTGGCTCATAATAGGTGCTTATTAAATATTTGTTGATTGATAGTGTAGTAGGTATTAAATTATGATGCCTTGTATCACTTGATTTTCATGACATTCTTAAAGAAAAGCTATATTCCTGTTTTTTTGATTGAGAAACTAAGACTAGGTTGAATAACTTGTTTAAGTCACGTGAAAGTAGAGTCAAGGGTAAAAGCTACTGTGTTTCCCCGAAAATAAGACCTACCCCTAAAATAAGCCCTAGCAGGATTTCTAAGCATTTGCACAATATAAGCCCTATCCCGAAAATAAGACCTAGTGATGGGCGTGGCTACGCAGCATATCTGCACAACCCATGCATTTCATCTCAGAGTGGTAAAGAAGATGAGCAGCCCTTCTCATCTGCCCCATCGTGACAGCTACTATCCCAGAGGTGACGGGAAAGGTGTGGGCAGCCCCACCAACAAGGTCGGCTCCCCCTGTCATGTTCTGGCCATCCTGCGCATGCTGCAAGCTGAGGCTTTGAGGGGAAAGTCTCCTCAGTGAAGCGAGGAGTGGGATGCTCCCCTTTAGGTATTGTGTGTCCCCAGGGGAAAGAAGGAAAGCTGTGGCTGCCATTTTCGTCAGCACTGTGGGCCTCTCTCATCCCCCACAAACACCAGGGTATAGGGGGAAAGCTTCAGCAAGCAGTTTCTTACTGAGTCCAGAGAGATCATTTCTGCTCCACTGTGCAGATTGGACCCAGTGCTCACTGGATCTCTGATAAATAATCCAGCCCTGCTCATTTAATGAGCGCTCTATTGCTCAACATGAGAGACTGGGGCCAATGGTTCTAAAGGAAATAGAGTCGCAAGAAATTCAGGATGGAATTCGGGATTTGGAGAGTTATGATGATGTTCCAGAAGAAGACAACTTAACTATATTTGAATAAATGTAGATTGTTGTACCGTACTTAAAAAAAATAACACATCCCCTGAAAATAAGCCCTAGGGTGTCGTCTTGAGGAAAAATAAATATAAGACTCTGCCTTATTTTCAAGGAAACACGGTAGGTCTTTCTAATGCTAAATCTTATACTTTTGGTGCCACATCACACTCCTTTCCAAATGTTAGTTGTTTGTCATAAGGGGAACTGTGTGAGAGTTTGTTGATAGATTGAGTTTGTTTGGGACTGGTGTTGGACATGCACAGAGTCAGCATTGAACAGATCAGATGTTCTGTGCTAGTCTCCAGCATCCTTGCTTTCATTTATTCATTATCATTCAACAGTTTTTTTTTTAGCACCTGCCATGTGCCACGTGGCTTTATTGGTGTTAGGGATACAAAAGTAAATAAAGACATTTTTAATGGAGCTCATTTTTCTAAGAGGGAAGATATGACATAAATAGGTATACAAATAATGTGTAATATGGCAGGTGGTGATATGCCGCAGTGACAAATAAGGTGAGATAAGGAATAGAGAATGATATAGGAATGGAATAAAGAAGGCCACTCTGATTTTTGGAGGAGGTGACATTTGGGCAGAGACAGTGAAGTAAGAAGCAAATTGTACAGGCACGTGGATGAAGAGCATTGTCTGCAAAGAGAACAGGCAGGTGTAAAGAGCCATGGAGGAGAGTGTGCTTGGGGTGTGGAGGAACAGCAAGGAAGCCCCTGTGTTTGAAACAGAATGAGCAAGGTAGACAGTGGTAGAAGATGAAGTTAGACAGGTAGCTGGGAGCCAGATCATGTAAGAGCTTGGTGAGGACTGGCTTTTATTTCAAGTGACTTAGGAAGACATTGGTAGGTTTTAGCAGATCTGGCTTACCTTTTCAAAGGTTCATTGTGGTTGCTGTGTGGAAAATACATTCTAGAGAGTCAAGGGCAGGAGCAATGAAACCAGTTCGGAGGTTAGAAGAATAGTTTAGGCAGGATAAGATGGCAACTTGGACCAGGGTGATTATGGAGGACACGGTAATACAGATATATTAATATATTTTGTATGCTTGTTCTCCTATTAGTCAATCTGCCCCATGTCAGTGATTTTTTTTTTTTCAGAGAACCTTTAGGCAGCCAAGGGCCTTGGTCCCTATAATACAGTATTGATGAAACAATTAACACCTGCATTTTTTTTTTTTTTTTGGAGACAGAGTCTCACTCTGTTGCCCTGGCTAGAGTGCTGTGGCATCAAACTCACAGCAACCTCAAACTCCTAGGCTCAAGTGATCCTTCTGCCTCAGCCTCCTGAGTAGCTGGGACTACAGTCATGTGCCACCATGCCCAGCTAATTTTTTCTATATATTTTTAGTTGTCCAGATAATTTCTTTGTATTTTTTAGTAGAGACAGTGTCTCACTTTTGCTCAGGCTGATCTCAAACTCTTGACCTCGAGTGATCCTCCTGCCTCAGCCTCCCAGAGTGCTAGGATTACAGGCGTGAGCCACTGCTCCGGGCCTGTTAATATATTTTGAAGATAGAGAAGAGTCAAGTATCACCTTAAGGTTTTTGACTAGAGCAACTGAAGAAGTAAAGTTACCTTTCACTGAGAGAGGAAGGAGTGTGGGAAGAGTGAAGGATGTTGGATGGGTAGGAGGGAGGGAGGGTAGGATGGCAGAAATAAAGAATTTGATTTTGACATGCTATGCTTACGATGCTTGTTAGGTATTCAGTTGGAGATGTTGTGTAGGCAAATACATGAATCTGACTGGGGAGAGATCTGGTCTAGAAATAAAACTTGTAGGGAGTGGTCAGCCTATCAATAATATAAGCAGTCAAATACTATTCACAGGTTGAATAAGATCTGCTTATATTCAAGAAAGGAGATTGGATCTAATTTTTTTTTCTCCTTTTTCTAATGTGCTGATGTAAACTGATAGAATTTGAACTTCTTCTTTCAGTTAACAGAAGATGAAATAGCTACAATATTACAATCAACTCTTAAGGGACTGGAATACCTTCATTTTATGAGAAAAATACACCGAGATATCAAGGCAGGAAATATTTTGCTAAATACAGAAGGACATGCAAAACTTGCAGATTTTGGGGTGGCAGGTCAACTCACAGTAAGTAAAAATGTTATTTGTATTAATAACTTTCAATTCTGTCCTGAGAATCAATTCATTTTTTATATTTTTTAAATATAATACTTGGATAGTAAAAAATTATAGAATCTACTAGTAGGTTATAAAAGAGCCAGTAGGTTATTTTAGAGCCTTACCTAGGGTTCAGGTCACATAGTTTAACTTTGCTTAACTTTTATAAAGATGAAAACTAAAATGAAATGATAGAGTACTCTATTGAATTACATTCACGTATTTATTAAAAGAAGACAAATTTCCTGGAATAAGACAGAACATCTCATTCAACTTCTAGGCAGTACCTGACAGTTACTGTACTGGAAACACTCTCATTTGGTTCCAGGATACAGTCTCTTGATTTTCCTCCTACCTCACTAGTACATGGCAGTGAAAAAAGAAAAAAACAACAACCTATGTTTTCAAAATAGGAAGTCTAGAATTATCTGATTTTATGAAATATGTAAGATATATGTGAAAGCATATATAGAAAAATGGAAACAGTTCTTGACAGGTATACACTAAAATTTGCAATAATATTATATATCAAGTGGTTTTCTTGGGTGGTAAAATGAATATATATAGTTTGTTTAGAACTGGTATTATGCAAAATTTTTATTTTTTATTTTAAATGTGCCTAGGGTATGTTAGGGAATGTCATATGTATTGCAACAGCACAGAAATTGCTTTGATGTTAAAAAAAAAATCAGAAGCTTATTCAGTATTATGATTTCTGGGCTCCCCAAAACATTTTGTTGTTAACACAAAAGTAAGCAGTACCAGTGTTATCTAAACTACAATCTTAATAAGGAAACCACATTGAAAACTACATCCTCTGGTGCCATCATGTATGACTAATTTTTTTAAAAAATTTTTTGTAGAGATGAGGTCTTGCTGTGTTGTCCAGGCTGGTCTTGAACCCCTGACCTCAAGTGATTTACCTGACTCAGGCTCCCAGAGTGCTAGGATTGCAGGTGTGAGCCACTGTGCCTGGCTGGGTTTTTGTTTATTTGTTTGTTTATTTTTAATATTTAAAATTTCAACCTGTTTGAACTTATTTTGGTGAAAGTATAAGGTAGGAATTTAAGTTAGTTTTGCAAATGACTAGACAGATGCCCAGTAGTTGTTTTTTTTGGTTTTGTTTTTTCTTTTGCATAATCTATCTTTGCTTGCTGATTTTGAATGACATTTTAATTATATGTATGGTTTGTTTAAAACTGGTATTCAAAATTTTTATATAAAAGACTGTTGTATATATATGTATGTATGTGTATATATATATATCAGTCTGTTTCTGGACTTAATATTTTCTGTTGCTATGCTGTTGTACTAATAATAACTTTGTAATACAGATCTAGTTGGGGTTAGTATTACTCTTATTAATTTAAAAAATTTTTAGCTTTCCAAGTATCCACTTCTAATTGAAATAATCCAGTGAAAACAACTTTGACTACCACCATTTGAAAACACCCCTGTAAATTTGAAGTTTCAGAGCTAAGGAAATGACTAAGCAGTAAGTTAGTTCCTGTGTTAATTTTTTACATAGGACTGACAGAGTGAGATCAATTTAAAAGTATTACCTGTCATTTGCTCCTGACTGGCATAACCTAATTCACAGGCATTCCAGAAGGAACATTGGTGATGATGATGGGAAGTCCTTCTGCATATTTAGTTCTGTTTAAAAATACTCTTCTTAAAGTATAAAAACTGTGGGAAGGTTCTCTTTCAGTAAGGCCATGCCATTCTGGGAAACCGTGTAAGTGGTTATTTGCCATAATATGTGCTATATCCACATATTCTTTTTTAATCCACAAACTGAGACTGTTTATATATCTCTAAAAATATGTCTGATTGCATATGTAGTACATGCTCATATAAGCTGTAAGAATGTTACAAAAGTATACAGGATGGAAAGTAAAAGTTTTTAGTGGTTTGTAATCCTAGCACTCTGGGAGGCTGAGGCGGGAGGATCACTTGAGGTCAGGAGTGTGAGACCTTGGTCATTTGAATTTCTTTTGTGACTTTCTTGATCATGCCTTGAGTATGGTTTTTATGTGTATTTCAAAGCATGTTTTATGGTTGGAAATTCTTTTTTTCTTAGTAGTTTTAATGCTTAGTGTTGGTCTCTCCCCTTTCTATTTTAGGATACCATGGCCAAGCGGAATACAGTGATAGGAACACCATTTTGGATGGCTCCAGAAGTGATTCAGGAAATTGGGTACAACTGTGTGGCAGACATCTGGTCTCTGGGAATAACTGCCATAGAAATGGCTGAAGGAAAGCCCCCATATGCTGATATCCATCCAATGAGGGTAAGGAAATGGACAGAAATTCAGTGATCCAGTGGGGGAGTTAGTTACTGATCATTAGAAAGGTAGTTCAGTGACTTACTTGGTTGTGTTTCAAACAATAAATGAATTAATTGTAAGTAAGTGAGAAGTGTCATTGTAGATGATATACTTCCACTTACTCTAGTTGTAGTCACTAATTAATTTAAGTGTGAGCTGCCCCTCTCTGTTCCAGAGTTTGTGTATTGATAGCTCTCTGGCAGGACATAGGCCATATAAATGCTTAGTTTGACTTGTGCAGCACACAAATACACACACATATACTTTTGATAGTTTAGGCATGCAACATCAGTTGGAGCTGGATAACAGTTGTCTCCTTTATATAGGACATGAGCTTCGTACTTTATCCGTGATTTCGTATTTTGTCACCAAGTATCAGTTGCCACTTATTAAAGTGTTTTCTCTAATGTTTTCTTTGTAATAAGAAGGAAAGCAAACTATTTTTATTTCTAAGTACAATATATGACTTTTAAGCAAACTATATTTTTTTAACTCAAGTTACTAAAACCCAGCCTGGTTCATTGGTTGTCTTTCCCCTGCCTGGCCCCTGTGGTGTTTGAATCTGTAAGTTCTGGTTTGTGGATCCCCAGACTCTGTTCATTTGGAGGCTCTGTACTCTCCAACCTTCATCTACTTCTATTTATTCATAAATAATAGTCTTATTTTTGAAATAGTAGAATTTAACTGTAATGTAGTAGGCCAATACAAAATTTTTGTTGTTGTTGTTCATTTGGCTTGGCTTTCAAGGTTAATGACTCCCTTGTGATATTTGGAACATCTGGTTGATGACCTCATCACTGTTGACATCTGGGGTGGTTGTGACTTTTTTGTATTTTTTTAATATTAAAAACATTTTTTTCTTCCATAGAGATTTGGGGGTCTCATTGTATTGCCCAGGCTAGTCTCAAACTCCTGGCCTCAAGCAGTTCTCCCACCTAAATCTCCCAAAGTATTGCGATTACAGGTGTGAGCCACTGTGCCTGGCCTGGTTGTGACTTTTAAGGGGGCGGGAAACTTGACAACTGTGGGGCTGAGGTTACCTTCAGGGTAAGGACACTCTTAGACCCTTTCCACTTTGAAAGGCAGCATACTGTGGTTAGCAAAAAAAAAAGAAAGCTTAATTGACATGAGGTTTGGGGGGACAAGACTGCATATGAGAGGGAAAGAGAAGGAGAGATATATCAGGTTCTCTAATTGTCATGCTTCCTTCTTGAAATGCTTAGACTTCTGTTGGAATTTGGATGGGCTTATCAGTGAAGATGTGAAAAATAATTTTACCAAGCTTCAAATGTAATTCCAGACATATTTTCACAGCTTCAGTTTTAGTTTACCAAATATTTTTTTCATTTGTTTGTTTATTTTAACTAGGCAATCTTCATGATTCCTACAAACCCTCCTCCCACATTCCGAAAGCCAGAGCTGTGGTCAGATAACTTCACGGATTTTGTGAGGCAGTGTCTTGTAAAGAGCCCTGACCAGAGAGCCACAGCCACTCAGCTCCTACAGGTATGAATCACCCTGCGCCGCGAAGCCACCTCTCCCCATTTCATTCACATGCTGACCGAAAAATGCCATTATGCCACCTACATGGAGACAGTAAAGAAGTATAAGACATTCTCTGCCTCTAGGGAGGTTTGAGTCTATTTGAGTAGAAAAGACTTGGAAAAGAATATTAAATCATCAAACAAGACAATAATGCAGGAACATACAGGGTTGCATGGGATTAGAGCAAGGGAAATTGACATATAGTGAGCACTTGCTGTGTGCCACGTGCTTTGCACGTGTTATGCCGTTTAATCATCACATAGACCCTGTGAGGGGTGGGTATTGTTTCCATTTTAGAGGTGAGAAAATGGAGGGGCTTAGAGAGGTTAACTCATTTAGAGTCATTCATCTGGTAAATAGCGGAACCAATGTTAGAACCTGAGTCTTTTTGATTGTAAAGCAGGGGGCCATCAAGTCTCCAATTCTGACAAAGAATTGAGATCACTGGTGGGTGCTGTTGGAGCTCAGGATGAAAGGAGGCCACTTTGGACTGGAGATGCTAGGTGTGCTTTCCAGGAGGAGGTAGCTTCTGTGCCTGGGTCGTAAAGGATGGTTGAGCTTTGGCAGCTATGGTATGCTCAGTGGTTAGGAGTTTGGATTCTGAAGTCAGACTGCCCAGGTTTGAATCCTGGCTCTCTATTTACTAGCTTTGTGACCTTGGGCAAGTAACTTAGCCTCTCTGTTTCTCTAGTTTTCTTATCTATAAAATGAGTATAAAGTACCTGCCTCATATGTTGTAATGATTAAGTGATATATAACCTGGAACAATGCTTTACATGTATTGCAGATAATGTGGTATGGATTTGATAAGTATCTGCTGCTATTACTAGGCTAGGCCAATAGTTTTCAAACATTTCAGACCCAATGCTCCTTTTTATAACCAATATATATATTTTAAAACTCTCATTACTTTTATGGAATGGAAATACTATAGTACATTGAACAGAAAGAATAAGTGAGATGAATAAATTATTCATTGATTTATTTTAGTTTTTTTGGAGATAGAGTCTTGTTCTATTGCCCTAGCTAGAGTGCAGTGGCATCATCCTAGCTCACTGCAACCTCAAACTTCCAGGCTCAAGTGATTCTCCTGCCTCAGCCTTCTGCGTAGCTGGAACTACAGGCGGGCGCCACCATGCCCAGCTAATTTTTTCTCTTTTTAGTAGAGATGGGGTCTCGCTCTTGCTTGGGCTGCTCTCGAACTCCTGACCTCACGTGATCCTCTTGCCTTGGCCTCCCAGAGTGCTAGGATTACAGGCATGAGCCACTGCTCCTGGCCTATTCAGTGATTTCTAAACAATGTCTTTATTCCATTAAACTTCCCCTCCAAGTTCATCTCCCTAATCACTGGCCTTTTTGCATATTTCTTGAAAGAAAAATTTGAAATTATCTACTAAAGTGCATATACAATCTGAGACATTTGAAATATGTGCAGAATGTGCCACAGTTCATTGTTTTGTGAGACAGTTCCACACTTTGCAGGATTGCTGGTGTCACTGCCTCCTATGCCATTTGTCCCCTCTAGACATTGTGACAACTACAACATGCTCCCAGCATGTTTATAGAACTTCCTCTAGGGAGCGATATACCCTATTGAGATTTTTCTAGATTTGGCATAGAGAAATGGCATAGGTATTCCAGCCAGGCTGAAAACAATGGGCAAAGCCTGAATGTGCATCTGCTCAGAGTTCGATCTATCTATCTATCTGTCTGTCTGTCTGTCTATCTTAACTGGACTCTTGCAGAGAACAGAATTATAAAGTGACTGTGGTTTAGCCGTTGCCTGCAGCATAAAGAGAAAGATTAGGTTCACTGATTGATTCAATAAATGTTATCAAGTACCTCCTGTGTGCCAGGCACTGTGGCACTGTCACCATATAAACTGTCTCCAGTGTTTTCCACTTTCTTGTTTAAGCACCCATTTGTCAAGAGTGCCAAAGGAGTGTCAATACTGCGAGACTTAATTAACGAAGCCATGGATGTGAAACTGAAACGCCAAGAAGCCCAGCAGCGGGAAGTGGACCAGGACGATGAAGAAAACTCAGTGAGTGGTAGGCCTTGCTGTGGGTCTCAGGCATTGATGCTTGTTATTTCATGATTGCCAGGCCAGGTAAGATGAGTAGGAGATGATGGATGAGCCTGGAGTTGGAGACTCTTCTTGCGTGACGGTGCCCTAACCTGGAGCAAGGCATGCTAGAGGCTTGCTGAGTCTCTGCCTGTTCTCCCTGTGCTTCCGAAAACACTTAAATTTCACTCTTTTGCCATATAACTTTTATTCAGTTTAACTTTTTATTTTGGAGAGAGAGCACTCAGGTCTGGACTTGGTTTTTCTATGCCCTTTTGGGGAATCTAAGATCTGTTCTCAATGTGTAGCTTTTACACTTACTTACAGAGTCCCTCACAACTTTGAGATTCCAAGGGTGTTCACATCAGCTTCTTAGATCTATGTTGTAATACTCTATTAAAAGGGACAGAGGAAGGGGTCTTTAGGGTTAGATGGACAAATTTATGATATTCTTTGCTTAAATAAGAGTGCTTTCAGTTCTGTAAACAGAGTTTAGAACCTGAATAAGTGTGAAATCCAGAAATATTTGCACTAATAGTAATTTAGAAAACTTTTAACTCTTTTTATCAAATTAGTTCCAATTTGAGATTTTTGTCCTTTTACAGGAGGAGGATGAATTGGATTCTGGCACGATGGTTCGAGCAGTGGGTGATGACATGGGTACTGTCCGAGTAGCCAGCACCATGAGTGATGGAGCCAATACCATGATTGAGCATGATGACACATTGCCATCACAGCTGGGCACCATGGTGATCAATGCAGAGGATGAGGAAGAAGAAGGGACTATGAAAAGTAAGGCTCTGATTAAATCCACTAACTTTTCAGACAAATCATGCACATTTCAGAGAGGATGGGTTCTCATGGTCCATACAGTATTGGTCTTGAGCCCCCTCTTCTATTGCCACAACCAAAGGAGTAAAAGCACTGGAGGCTTGTGGGGGAGGCAGGAGGCTTGGGAAGGGGAGAGATGGCATGTGGAGTCTGAGGCAAAGAAGTATCAACACTGCGAAGGGATTTTGCTTTTGAACCTGAACAGCAGATTCCAAAAGTGAATGAACATTCTTTTGTTGAATGTTGTCATTTTTCCTTCTTTACCTTGAGCTGTGGAGGCAAGCACACACATTGTTTTGATGCATATTTCCTCTCAAAGCTGTAATGAAATTCTGAGCTATTTCCTGTACATATATCTTCAGTTTATTTTCATGATAGTTTGTGTGTCTAACCTGGGTTTACCAGCACTACATCAGTGAATTCAAGATCTTATAAGTTTAAAAATTCTATCAAGTTCTTTCTTGTTTAAACCCATCTCTGCTGCTTTTGGTATCTGGCTGATCCTTTTTTGGCCTGGCATCCAGCTCCTATCTTAGAGCGCCATGCTCTCCTTGTCAGCTATTGCCCTTCCCCTTTTGCTGTGCGCTGCAGACCAACTCACAGAGGAGAGGAATTTGGGAGTATAAAATAATAATAGTTGAGTTGTGTAGGTACAGCTTGGCTTAAACTTTGTATAGGTTTAAAGCACTAAGTCTCTATGATGTTTTCATCATCTTTTTTTCCTTCCTTTTTAAAACGTAAAGGCCCTTTCTCTGAACCAGGGATTGGCAAACTATAGTCCGTGGGCCAAATCTGTTTTGCCGCCTGCTTTTGGTAATAAAGTTTTGTTGGGACACAGCCATGTACCTTCATTTCCGTGTTATCTGTGACTTCTTTTGCACTACAAAGGCAGAAATGAGTGGTTGTGACAGACCATATGGCTCCCAAAGCCTAAAATATTTGCTGTGTGGCACTTTATAGACAGACAAAGTTTGCTTAGCCCTGCTTTAGACTGTCTTCTTTGTAAATGATTAATTCATTCAGTAAATTTTTCTTCCGTGCCTACTGCATCCCAACTACTTTGCTAGGTGCTGAGGACACAGCAGGGAAAGAAGAAACAGTCCTTGTCCTGAGGGAACTCATTGTCTAGTCTAGGCGACAGACCATTAATTATAATTCAGTGTATGAAATGAGTTCTAAGATGGGGTAACCTGAGGGTGTTGTCAAACCAGAGTGGAAGAGTATTTAACTTTGGGGATTACTGAAAAATTCCTGGAGGGAAAAGGCAGGAAGTTTGGCAGCACACGGGGTGGGTGGAGATGCTCCAGCAGAGGGAGCAGCGTACTCAGGATCCTAGAGACAAGAGACTGGTGAGTTCCTGGGAACTGCAGGTGGTTTATTGTGGGTGGGATAGACAGTTTCGGGACCTTGGTTCTTAGGCATCTCTTGTCATTTTCATCTTTCAGGTCATAGTATGTATATTTATAATGACCCCTTTGTTTTTGAAGGGAAAAGGTTTTCTTTTTTCTCTTTTGGGTCCCAGGCTCATCATCTCTGTAAGTAAATTCTAGGCACCTGGTCTAAGTAAATAATTGACAAATCATATTCAAGAATTTTTCCAAATGTATTACTTATAATTGTAAAAAAAATGTGGATTAAATTTAAATGTTCAGTAGCAGATGAGTGGTCAGATAATTTATGGTACATTCATAGGAGGGAAGGAATACTATATTATATAGATGCATTCACTTTCCTTCTATGGGCCTCAGTAAAATTAAAGAGTTATTAAATTTACTTTTATTACTCCTTGTAGCTCAAATAGTAGACACATTTATAAAAATTATTTAATTCATGGCTGATACAGAACTGAAATTTCTGGAAGTTAAAATTTGTGAAAATAAATAGGCTTTCATCTAGTGCCTTCTTTGAACCTGTATGAAATGTTTATCCTTGGAAATTAAAATGGTAACTGTTGGGGAAGGCTGTGCATGTGTGGGAGCAGGGGTATGTGAAACGTGGGAACTCTGTGTACCTTCCTATCGATTTTGCTGTGAACGTGAATCTCTAAAAAAATAATCTTTAAAAACATTTTTAACTGTTAACTTCCTATATACAATATTTAACAAGAAAAGATGTACATACCACTATTATTATTTGCATTTGTTTTGTAGAATCTAATTTTAGTTTGTAATTTTAAAGAAACTTTAACATGAATGTGGGAAGACTCTTGGATTTATAATTTATTATGTAGGCTATCTAGTTCAGAACTGTTTCTGAACTTTTTGGATACCTTTTGAGAGCAGACTGTATTTTCTAGATCTCTTTAAAAAAGGTATTTCTTTGCTGGGTGTGGTGGCTCATGCCTATAATCCTAGCTCTCTGGGAGGCCGAGGCAGGATGATCACTCAAGGTCAGGAGTTCAAAACCAGCCTGAGCAAGAGCGAGACCCCGTCTCTACTAAAAATAGAAAGAAATTAATTGGCCAACGAAAAATATATAGAAAAAAATTAGCCGGACATGGTGGTGCATGCCTGTAGTCCCAGCTACTTGGGAGGCTGAGGCAGAAGGATCGCTTGAGCACAGGAGTTTGAGGTTACTGTGAGCTAGGCTGATGCCATGGCACTCTAGCCCAGGCAACAGAGTGAGACTGTGTCTCAAAAAAAAAAAAAAAAGGTATTTCTTGTCTTGGAATAGTTAAATATTTCATTTGCTTCTAATCTCATTTACTTTATTAAAAATTATTATACCTATAGTATTATCACAATATTAGTATGCTGTTAGAAAAGAAAGTAATTTATTCCCAAATCCTGTCTCTCCAACAAAGAAACTATTCTTGACCACATGCATGTATAATTCCTATATGGTTATAATTTGCATAGATAATCTGGTTTTTGATTATCTTTCACTTATTAACCATAGTATTAACTACACATTTTATGTCACTGTATAGTCTTTTTAAATATTTATCCCACTTAGCAGAGTTTTTAAATCATTTACCCTTTGCTGGGCATTTTGATGTTTTTGATTTTTCACTATTATAAATAACTCTGCAGGGAATATCTTATCATTTTTCTTCTTTTTAAAAGTATTTCCTAGGAAAAATTTCCAGAATTATTTAAATGATTTAGTATATATATATTGCCATATGCCATATTCATATTGTCCTCTAAAAGGCTTGTAACAGTTTATATTCCATGAGGATAGTAACAGCCACCTTTATTCTTAGTTTCTTCTCTTTCTTTTGTACATTTTTTTTTTTTTTGAGACAGAGTCTCGCTTTGTTGCCTAGGCTAGAGTGAGTGCCGTGGCGTCAGCCTAGCTCACAGCAACCTCAAACTCCTGGGCTTAAGCAATCCTTCTGTCTCAGCCTCCCATGTAGCTGGGACTACAGGCATGAGCCACCATGCCCGGCTAATTTTTTCCTATATATATTAGTTGGCCAATTAGTTTCTTTCTATTTATAGTAGAGACGGGGTCTCGCTCTTGCTCAGGCTGGTTTCGAACTCCCGACCTCGAGCAATCCGCCCGCCTCGGCCTCCCAGAGAGCTAGGATTACAGGCGTGAGCCACCGCGCCCGGCCTCTTTTGTACATTTATAGAATAAATAGTGGCATTCTAGTGATATCTGATAAAAAAATATAATTATCTGAAAGTGATAGAAATTTGTTTATATATTTGGAAATAGCAGTGTATGAATATCCTACTGTCACCATAGCTTGTCCAGCATGATATATTGCCACATAATTATATGTGAGAGACGTGCTGCATGGTTGGTTTTCATTTGTATTTCTTCTGTTATTAGTGAAGTTAGTATGTATTTCTGCAAAGACTATTTTAATTTCTTTAGTAGATGTTTCCAGAGAAACCTTTCGTTCAGTAACTCTTTACTAAGCATAGCTTTGTGCCTGACACTGTGGCAGGTACCAGGATGTGACAGTCCTTAATCTCATAGGAACCAGCAGGCAGTTAGAGTGCAGTGTGGTAAGCAGTCAGGTAGGGGTAAGGACAGCTCATGTGGGGTCCCAGATAAGGGTCGGCCAAGGCAGCATTGAGTGGAATCCAAGAGTGAAATCTCAGCTGAAACCTTAATGGCCAAGTGGAGGTTTAGCCAATTGTGCTGGTCTAAAAAATATATTAGTAATTTTTCTCACTTTTCTGTAGAACACATGCAGGACAAAACATCCTACAAATTGCCTAACCGAATATTTTTTTGTTTGATAATAAGGAAAACACACATTTTAAAAGTTTCTGTTAGATCCCACGTGTCATTCCTATATGAACCATTTAAATAGTTTAATCTCCCAACAACAAGATGGATATTATTTTTCTTTTTCAATTTGTGGTTTAAAAAATGCAAATAATAATCTAGCAAAAATTTGTGTATTGACTACTCAGAATTAATAGATACTGATATTTTTTAGATTTTCTAAGGAATAAATCAACCCATGACTTTACTGATAAAGTTAAAACCCCCTCCCAACCTCTTTCTAATCATATAATCATATATTTGGCACATAACTTGTCATGCTTTGTTTCTGTATTTTTACTACATACATATATATTTGTAAGCAATACCTAGTGCTGTTTTATCTTTTTAAAAGATACTATTGTTTATTTTTTTACAACTTGCTTTTTTTTTCCAGCAAGGAGCTTTTTTAGGTGGAATGTATCCTTGTTGATACATACACTGAGAATGTAGCACGTTGTATTAATATTTAGACATTTCCCTTTTGCTGGACATTTGTTTGTAGCTTTTTGCTGTTATAAGCATGTCTCTGTACATGTCTCTTAGAAGACAAGGCAGAATTTTTTTAGGGATATGCTGAGAACTGGGATTTGCTAGGTCTTATGGTATACCTATTTTCATTTATACTTAGAATCCTCAAATTGCTCTCCAGGTGACTGTAATAATTTATACTCTTACTAGCAGGGGATGGGAATTCCGATTTTTTGTGTCTTCTCTAAGAATTGACATTGCCAGGC